AGAACCCTAAGAATCCCGGTTTAAGTCTATATTGGACTAGAATTTCCTTATTGGGCCTAATGTACCAATAAGTATTCAATTCAACTATTTTGGGCTTGGAAACCCTATTTGGATTCTAACTAGACCCAATTCCCAAATCTATAACATTTTTGACCAATTGGGCCTAGAATGATTCATTCTAACCCTAATGGGCCTTATTGGGTTATAGCTAATCCAATTAAACCTAGTGAGCCATAAAACCCACTTTTTATGCCATTTGGGCCGTGAACCACCCTAAAGGCCCAATGGGCCGAAAACGTCTCTATGGGCTTCATAATTTCGAACCAAGGAAAGAATTGGGCCAAACTAGTTCATCTTCCTTCCTCCTAGCCCAAAAACCCTCGACTCAACATCATTAAAAAAAATGAAAAATGAAATGGAAGGGGAGGAGTTGACTTTGGAGGTGCCACCTCCATATTACTCACCATGTAACAAGGCAAGCTATCTCATGTTTCCATGCAAGTCACCTCATCCTTCTCTCCCCTCTCTCCTTCTACTTACGACCGAGAAGAGCACACACACACACACACTTCACTTGCAAAATTTCAGTCAAGTCCTCAAGAACAACTCCTTCTTCATCCATCAAAAATTCGAGATTTAGGGTGTTTACAAGAGGATTTTTCACCACAATCACCATCATTGGTAAGTTATTATCAAACACAAACATCTCCTTTCAATTTAACATTTAGAACTTCTTCTTACATAGCTTTATCCCATGATCACACCTTAGAAACTTCATAAGCTCGAAAACTACTTCAAGGTGTTGCTAGGACCAAAAATCTCTTCATCTCTTCTTCAAAACCGAAACATCAAAGCAAAGGTGAGTTCATACCCCCTTGTTTTCGGTTTTATATGATTTTTGGGGGAGAATACAAGTAAAATGTGTAGATCTATGTGTTATATGCATGTCTTGTGTGAAATCTTAGTTTATTTTGTAAAAATGTGTTAGATCTAAACAAATCTCGACATTATAAGTGACATGGAGTAAAGATCCATGAACCAAGACACTATATACATCATACTATCAAGCCAAAAGTGATTACATGTTTAAGAAATAAAAGTTAAAACAAGAACCTTGTTTAGGGTCAAAATTGTCAAGAAAACAAAAGATAAGGGCAAAAAGCGACATTTATGTTTTTATAAGGATCAAACAGGTCCTACTAGTATAAAAATGGATTTTTATGATAAACATGCTTTCCAAAGGGTCAAAAATGTAAATTTTAACTTAATGGGCCAAATATTTGGGCCTCACGGTTTTGGGCCCAAAATTGCGAAAAATGGAAGTTTTGAGATTAAAAATGTTATTTGACCAAAGTTTGAGTCATAAATGTAAATAAACCAAATTTAGGGGTGAAAATAACATTTATTTTAAAATTGGGCCAAAAATGTAACTTTTATAAAAATTGGGCCGAAAGTGTCAATTTGACAAACAAAGGGCTGAAAAGGTAATTTTCTGCCAAAATGGGCCATAAATGTCAAAATATAAATTTTTGGATAAAATCCGGGAATTTCTATACATTTGGGACGAAATTACAATTTTTTATAAATTATGGACTAAAGTGTTATTTTTACAAAACTTTGGGGCCTTAATTGAAAAATTGAGGCTTAATGGCCAAGAACGTCGTTTTTACCAAAGAAGACTTTTTATATTCAATTCGGTAAACCTCGAACTAAAACAATCAACGAAATAATAACAAATGGGTGAAATACATTGATAACAATTTTATTGGGCCTAATATTCACATTACATGACCAATGGGCCTTAAGGGCCCATTCAAGTGTATATTGAGCCTAATATTTTCCATGACATGTTTATTGGGTCTTGCGACCCATTTACATGTTAATTTGGGCCTGAGTTATGGGTCACTTGTTTGTTGGGCCTTTGTGGTCCATTTACATGCCTATCGGGCCCAAATTACCCACTTACATGTTATTGGGCCTTTGTGATCCATTTACATGCTAATTGGGCTTGGAATGAAATTCACATGCTTAGTAGATCGTAACTGTACCTTTACATAACTATCGAACTTCGTATACTTATATATGTACCTTTGAATTTGATAACATACAACATACACGTAAAACATTAAACATAGTACAAAAGGTTGAGAATCTAGTGAGACGTGTCAAGTTGGCACCTTTGAGTGTACAATCGTAGCTTGTAGTTATAATCAAAGTCTGCTGGAGGGAGAGCGAGAGTTTGTGTATAGATCTATACGGGGGGACCTCCCACGCCTTAGCTGCTCGCTACAGCTAGACTAGGCCAGTCTAGGGCGACAAAACCTTGAGCAAATACCAGCATTTGGAAAAATGCTAAGACAGACAACCTAGTCATTATCATGTATGATTATAACGGCTCATATAGAGATTCAATACCAAATTTAACATTTCGAAGATTAACCCTTCGATTGTGTCAATACAAAACAACTTATTAAACGATACAAGAACCTCGACATTATAACAAATCAGAAAATATCGGAATTTCTGGGGAAATACAAATGTTCAATTATCACTCGCTTACAATACAAAGAAATCTAAACTACTTTTATATATGTCACTACTGATAAATTCACACATGCATTTATACTTGATTTTCACATAATTTTCAAACATTTTACAGAAAATATCGGATTTTCTAGGTTTTTACGAAAGATACAAAGACTTTTACTCAAACATACTTATGAACTCACCAACATTATATATGTTGACCGTTTTCAAAATAACTTGTATTCTCAGGTAATCGTTAAGCTGGAAGATTTCAAGTATGTATGGTTTCATTTTATGTAACATCATTCATCGTACTTTTAATATAGTTTGAACCTATGTATTTATAACAATGTACTTGATGTGAACAATGCTGGTTGTTATATGTAATGATGGTAATGAATGTGTTACGTTTCATGAGTATTCATTGTAGTGATAATTCAATTGTTAGTCACACGAGCCCCGGACGTTTTCGCCGTCTGGTTCGGGGGTGTGACATTTTAATGCTCTCAAACGTATTCTTAGATATTTTCAAGGAACTCTTGAGCTTGATTTACATCTTTATCCTTCCCGACCCACTAGACTTATAGCTTACACTGATGCTGACCGAGCCGGTTGCCCCGATAGTCGATGATCCACATTTGGTTATTGTGTTTTTCTCGGGGATACCCTTATATCGTGGTCCGCTAAAAGACAACCTACCTTATCCCGCTCCAGTGCTGAAGTGGAATATCGCACAGTCACAAATGTAGTTGCCGAAACGTGCTGGCTACGTAACCTTCTTCGTAAGCTTCATGTCCCACTCCACCGTGCGTCACTTGTTTATTGCGACAACATTTCTGTAGTCTACCTCTCTGGTAATCCAGTTCAACATCAACGCACCAAGCACATTGAACTTGATATTCATTTTGTACGAGAAAAGGTAGCACTCAGCCATGTTGGAGTCCTTCATGTACCGTCTGCTTATCAGTACGCTGATATCTTCACCAAAGGCCTTCCTCGCCAGCTGTTTCTAGATTTCAGATCTAGTCTTAGCGTCCAGCCGCCTCCCGCTACGACTACGGGGGAGTATTAATGATAACTATCATATAAGATCAGGATTACAGTTGTATTTGAATGTATTTTGAATTGGTTTATCCTTATCTAGTGGTAGGATGATTGTTGTATATATACTCGTTGATGATTAATGAGAAAGGAAGTGAAGTCAATTACCTTTAAATAGTGATTTTGCAAATTATACATACATAAAATTCCAATAAAAACGCATCTCTAATTGTGTAACCATAGTATTGGTTGCTGGTTACTAAACATAGATAAAATGAAAAACATAAATCTAAAAACTTTACATGTAAAAAAACAGTATATATGCATTACTAATGTCAACTTATAGATATTTTTTATAGCAATATAAAATTTTATAAACATAAAAGCCAGAAAACTGGTAAATAAAACATTTAGATATCAAATTTATTGAACACAAAGTTCTATAATCAATGCTTTTTAATTGAGGTTTTATGAAGACGGAGGATAAAGACACTTAATTGAAAGGGGAGCATGGAATCTCAATAAAAGTAAGATAGCGATTGTGGATGGATCTATCCTTGGTCACACGTACACGGAAACCTAGAGCGACAAACTCGCTGCCTTTTTATTTATTTTATCATTCCATTTTCCCAATGCTTTTATACTTTCTTCAGTTGTACTCTATGTTTTTGGACTTGTACCTTCCTTTTTAACTTTTCATGTTATATATTATACGAATTCTATCTTTAAATATAGATGTTTTAAATTTTGTGTGTTTGACAGGTGTACTCTCCTCTAGATTTGGTATTTGTGGATTTCCAAATACTGCTTTTGAGGGAGAAAACCCTAAATTTTTTATGTTATATTCGTAAATTTTGTAGAATGCAATGTACATGTTAATTTTGTATAATACATTTGTACTCTGTGAAATGAACTTTGTACCTTTTTATTATTTAATTTAGCACTCTTGAGAAAATGAAAGGGAACACAACAAATTCTAGTTGTACAGTGTGTTTTACTGAAGTTGCACACTTGCACTTTTTGTGCATTTGTATTCTTGTCTCTGTAAATCTTACTTTGAGGAAGATTACAGCACAATAAACCTTAAATTATTTTAATATAAACTCCTTTTTCAATGCAATGATGCTTCCATGACTTGTACATTATGCTGTTGATGTTGTACCTTCAGGGTTTTCTTTCACATCATCGATCTCCATGCAAAACTGAAGATGGGTCTCATGGCATGTGAGCACCAACTGTGTCCACGCCCTTCCCTCCTCCTAAATTTATTCTTGTGTTTGACTATTCTTCTCTCTCTCTAAAACCCAATCCTATTTTCTCTCTCTAAAGCTATTGGTGCTTTGTGCAAATTGAAATAATGGAAGTTGATCACTTATACTGTTAATCTTCTGATAATCAAGAACACCCAACATGTAACAAACTCCATCCTGAAGATGATGCAAGTTCATAGCTTTAAAAGATTTGGTTTTGTTTTTATCTTGTTTCTCTCTCTAGCTTGTGTTCATGGTGACGTTGATGAATCTCACCAGCTCTTATCGTTCAAATCTTTGCTTAAAAAGCCAAATCTTTTGACGAATTGGCTGTCTGGAAACCACCCGTGTAATTTCAGTGGTGTTTCGTGCAAAAACTCAAGAGTTTCGTCTATAGATCTTAGTGGGACTGATTTGAGCTCCGATTTCCGTTTAGTTTCTTCGAATTTGATGACAATTCCAAATCTTGAAACCTTGGTTCTTAAGAACTGCAATCTTACTGGTTCTTTGGTTTGGAGATCGGGATCTCAGTGTAGTCGAGATCTCGTCGCCATTGATTTGGCTGAAAATGGTGTTTCCGGCTCATTTTCCGAGGCTTCCACGTTGACGGCGTGCCCGAAGCTCAGCTCTCTGAACTTGTCAAGAAACTCGATCGATTTCAATGGCGAGTTGAAACCGGTTGGGCTTTCTATTAAGGTTATTGATCTTTCTTACAATCGGATTTCATGGGGGAAACCAAATGTTGTCCAGTGGATCCTATCAAATGGGTGTGGGGAGCTTCGACATTTATCTGTAAAAGGAAACAAAGTCGCCGGAGAGTTGCCGGAGTTCGATTGCCCCAACTTAGAGTACTTAGATCTGTCTGCAAACAATTTCTCATCTGGGTTTCTTTCATTTCGTGATTGCTCGAGTTTACAGTATCTAGATTTATCATCCAACAAGTTTTCGGGTGACATATCTGGTTCTTTATCGTCTTGCAAGCGTCTCAGCTTCCTTAATCTCACTCAGAACCAGTTCGCCGGCGAGATACCATCTTTTCCGGTGGACGGGAGCCTCCAGTTTCTGTATCTAGCCACCAATCATTTCCAAGGTAGGGTTCCTCCACACCTCCTCAATCTATGCCCAATGCTCGTTGAACTGAATGTTTCCGGTAACAACCTTTCCGGCGCCGTTCCCGACGGCTTAAAATCATGTTCTTCGCTTCAACTACTTGATTTCTCCCGAAATAATTTCTCCGGTGAGCTACCCATTGAAACCCTTTTGGAAATTAGTAACTTGAAGACACTGGTGTTATCTTTCAATGATTTCATCGGTTTCTTACCGGAATTCTCAAAAATGACCAATTTGGAGACTTTAGATTTGAGTTCCAACAAAATTTCCGGCGGAATCCCTTCTGGATTATGTCAAGGTACAACTACAAGCTTAAAGGAGTTGTACCTTCAAAACAATTGGTTCACGAGTCCAATACCTTCAACTCTCAGCAACTGTTCTCAACTGGTTTCTCTTGACCTGAGCTTCAATTATCTCACCGGAGAAATCCCTTCAAGTTTCAGGTATTTATCGAAGCTTCAAGATTTGATTATCTGGTTCAACGAATTGGAAGGTGAAATCCCACAAGAACTCATGTACATTCAACCTCTCCAGAATCTCATTCTTGATTTCAATTATTTAACTGGGTCAATCCCACCGACATTGAGCAACTGCATCAATCTCAACTGGATTTCTCTTTCAAACAATAAATTATCCGGCGAGATTCCGGCGTCCCTTGGTAGTTTATCTAATCTAGCCATTCTAAAGCTCGGGAACAACTCCTTCTCAGGCAACATTCCGTCAGAACTTGGCGATTGTAAGAGCTTAATTTGGTTAGATCTCAACACCAATGAACTATCCGGGACAATCCCACCTGATTTGTTCAAACAATCCGGCCAAATTGCTGATGCGTATCTCACCGGAAAACCATATGTTTACATAAAGAACGATGGGAGCAGTCAGTGCCATGGTGCAGGAAATTTACTGGAATTTGGTGGGATTCGAGAAGACGATCTGGGTAGGATTTCAAAGCGACATCCATGTAATTTCACTAGGGTTTACAAAGGAATCACTGAGCCAACATTTAACCATAATGGATCGATGATGTTTCTTGATCTTTCCCATAATAATCTTCACGGCAACATCCCCATGGAGCTCGGGGCAATGTTCTATCTCTTCATATTGAATTTAGGCCATAACAATCTCACCGGTTCAATCCCTCAAGCACTCGGGAGTTTAAAAAACGTTGCGATCCTTGATTTATCATATAATTATCTCAACGGATCAATCCCGAATTCGTTAACCAGTCTCACATTGCTAGGTGAGGTCGATTTATCAAACAACAACCTTTCCGGATTGATACCCGAATCAACCCCATTCGATACATTCCCCCAAAAAAGTTTCTTAAATAACTCCGGCTTATGCGGGTATCCTTTACCCCGGTGCAAGCCACCTTTAGCCGCTGGTTCCGGTGGCCGGAACCGGCGACAAGTGTCCCTCGCCGGAAGTATCGCGATGGGGTTGTCATTCTCCATCTTTTGCATCTTCGCGGTGGTGATGGTGGGGGTGGAGATCAAGAAACGCCTACAAAAGAGCGCCAAAGACTCGGATTCCGCCACCGAACGTGGCGGAAACTCATTATCTGGCGGCCAGAGGAGCGGCGCCTGGCGGCTCACAACCAACCGCGAGGCTTTAAGCATAAGCCTCGCGGCGTTTGAGAAGCCGCTAAAAAAGCTCACATTCGCTGACCTCCTGGCCGCCACAAACGGGTTCCACGACGAAACCCTAATCGGATCCGGTGGGTTCGGCGACGTATACCGGGCCGAGTTAAAAGACGGGACCACAGTGGCCATCAAGAAACTAATCAACGTAAGCGGTCAAGGCGATCGCGAATTCATGGCCGAAATGGAAACAATCGGAAAAATCAAACACCGTAACCTAGTACCATTACTAGGATATTGTAAAGTCGGAGACGAACGGTTATTAGTATACGAGTACATGAAATTCGGAAGCTTAGACATGGTTTTACAAAACCGATCAAAAACCAGGATCAAATTAGACTGGCCCACAAGGAGAAAGATCGCGATCGGGTCGGCCCGCGGGTTAGCTTTCCTACATCACAATTGCACCCCTCATATTATCCACCGTGACATGAAATCTAGCAATGTTTTGCTAGATGAAAATCTTGAGGCCCGGGTGTCTGATTTCGGGATGGCCCGCCATATGAATGTCATGGACACGCATTTAAGCGTGAGCACATTGGCGGGAACACCGGGGTATGTCCCACCGGAATACTACCAAAGTTTCCGGTGTTCCACGAAAGGTGATGTTTATAGTTTTGGGGTGGTTTTGCTCGAGTTATTGACCGGAAAACAGCCGACAGATTCACCGGATTTTGGGGATAATAATCTAGTTGGGTGGGTGAAACAACATGCCAAGCTTAAACTTAGTGATGTTTTTGACCCGGATTTGTTGAGGGACGATCCGGGTTTAGAAATTGAGCTTTTACAACATTTGGGGGTTGCTTGTGCTTGTTTAGAAGATCGGCCATGGAAACGACCGACGATGATTCAAGTTATGGCGATGTTTAAAGAGATTCAGGCAGGGTCCACCGTGTCAACGGATGGCGGGAGTTTTAGCGTTGAGATGACGATAAAAGAAGATGGTGAACTGAGCACACAGTGATTGGGAAATTGTTGTATGTTATGAATTTGAAGTTGTACATTAGGCCGATTGGCTGTTTGGTAGTTTGTGTTAGTTGATGTATGTATTATTTTTAGTCACTTTGGGATGACCTTTGTGATATACATAAAAGGAGTTTTGATCAAGTTGTACAGAAGTCCGAGAACAGGTAGGAAGTTTGTTTTTGCTGATACATTGTTCTCTTTAGACTTTACGGGGAAAATGATACGGTACAACAAAGTATTTTTTCTTTCCGAGTTGCCCGTGATAGGTTTTTTTTTTTTTTTTTTTTTTGTTAAATTGAGAAACCATTCAAATTATTAATATTATGGATGACGGTGATTGAGAATCGCTCAGATGATCCAGCCGTTCAAACTCCCCCAACTTTCAATCGCAGCCGTAATAACTCAACATTTACAGTTTTCCGGCGGTTCTCTTCTTTTCCTGTCGATGACCATCTGCCTCCCACGTTCCGCTTCACTGTAACTCCTCCCACGATCTCCCCCTTATTTTCTCTCTTGGCTACACGATTGTGTGTGAAGGTTTCTTTGATTGGAGTATAAGAAAGACCCTCAGCTCCCTCGATCTTTTTCTTTCCCGTTTACGACAGAGGCTAGGTTGTATCTGTTGATTCAGTTGAAATTTGTTGCAAGTTCAAGGCTACAGCACAAAGCACTTTGTATTCAACTGGTATCGGGGAGAGATGCCAATTCGATATTAATCCAAGCATATCCCTAACAACAAGAACACCAAGTAATTTCTTTAGTTCTTTTAATTGCAATTTGAATTCCTCTTAACATCGGGTAGACAAGATTTGAGTTCCTCTTTAATCGTTGGGATTTGACGAATTATATATATTTTTTTGTCAATTCTATGGAAATCACTCTGCAATCGTCGCTTCCTCGAATTCAATTCCAGGCATAAAAGGTTGAGAAAGACGAAGACTGAAAAAGGAGGCTAACAGACACCCTCGCCTCCTTCAGAAATAGGAGATCACCCTCGAGAATTGCAACGCCTTGGAGTGAATCGCACTAGCAAATTACATATGCATCAATTTACATATCTGGTTGATATCTGGAGCCTTTGTCTTGCTCTTTTTGAGTGTGGCACTAGCAAATTTACATATGCATCAATTTAATTTTATTAGTTTAAGTAATTAGTTTATTATTATTCAAGTGAATAATCTATTCTAATATTCGTATGATGTTCTACATGATTGTGGATAGTTCAAACAAGAGTTCCAAGTTGTCAAATAGAGGGTGAGATCAAGTGATAAATATGGGTCGAAAGTTAAGGTAAATAGTAAAAGGAGGGGGTGGGGTGGGGTGGGGATGATGCAACAGTTAAAGAGATTTGGGATACAACTGCTTGTGGTGATTCAGAGGTGCATTTGTGTGTTGCAATTGCTAAATTTTGGCTTTTGATGCAACAATACTCTCTTTGATCACCCCAAGTGTTTGATTGTTTTTGTCACAGAAGTGAACCTCTAAGTGTATACATGACCCATCATAAGAAAAAGATGAAACATATGATGGAAATGCAATTCTACCACATATTTTAAAAAAATGTATAAATGGGGCTGGGGCAAAATGGTAATTCCGTCTTTGAAAATAATAACATTGTGCTTATTTTCAATAAAAATTATGTTATTTTTCTTATTTAAGCATTGTACTTTCAAATATAGCATCATACTTTAATTTTTAATTATTATTTTCAAAAAAATTATGTTATTTTCTTATTTGAGCATTATACTTTCAAATATAGCATCATACTTTCTTTTTTTTTTTAATTCATATTTTCAAAAAAAAAATATGTTTTTTTTCTTATTAGACCATTGCACTTTCAAAGTACAATGGTTAAATAAGAAAATAAAACAAAAATTAAAAAAATAAAGATTTAGAAATGAATGTTAAATATATAATTAGACAAACAAAATAAAGTACATTTCACAAATCTTCATTGTTTTGAAAAAATAACATCAAAATATGTACCAAAACTTTTTTCTTCACAAAATACCCTTCTGGTTGTACTTTTAAAACAATGATGATTTGTATAAAACAAATATATTTGTATCCATTTATGACATTAATCCTATATTCATATAGGTAGATTAGTAGATATTAAAAAGATAAAAACTAGAAAATGAGAGATTGAAGGTATTGATAGAAACCTTCCAGTAAAAAGGAACCGAGTTCTCATCAATGGTTGAGCTTGAAGTGTCAAGTTCACTCCATTTGTGTGAGAGCATGTATGCTAAATCAATTTCACCATATTCAAGTAATCTTCCTTCACTTTTCCATCTTTATTGCATATACGTCAAAGGATTTTACTAGGTTTGTCCAAATGATCTTCCTAGGCTTGTCCTTGTGGGCAGTGGCAGTCCTAGAGTGGGGGCAGCTGCCCCCACAACAAAAAAAAATTAATTAAAAAATAAGTTTTTTTAAAAAAAATATTGTATTTTAACCCTTCAAAATTATATGTTTTGACTCTTCAAAAATATTTGCCCCCATAAAACATTATAAAAAAATATTTGCCCCCACTTTAGAAAAATTCTTGGGTCCGCCCCTGCTTGTGGGTGATTTTATCCGAACCGATAATATTTTAGTTTCAGATCTACATTGAATAATATTTTAGTTTTTTAGTCTTAATTGACTGTGTTCTTTATTTTATCTTGTGTATGGAACATAATTATAGATGTTATTTCAAGAGATAGAAAAAATAATTGGATAGATTTATCATGTACATAACTAATATAGAAAGGAATGAAAGTAATATGCTATAAAAATAAGATAAATCAATATATTATTTATATATTTATCAATGGACGGATATTACACTTAGTTAAGTTTGGTTCCTATTAAGTTTATTAAGTAAAAAAGAAATAACACACTTCTGTATCATCATATTAGATTAGATAATTTCGAACGCTTGCACGTTCTCTCTGAGTCTGGAGTCTGGTCACACACCCTACTCTTGCCGCCCCCTTTCTGTCACGAGTTACGACTCTCTCGCTTCTTCTATAATAATGGAGACTCTGTTTCCGTCTTCCTTTTCATTTGTCGTTAGGGTTTTTTTTCCTACGAAATTTGGGATCCTCTTTTGGCTTTGATAATGATGCAAGTAACGCAAATCTTCATTTACCTTGATGATATTAATCGTTTTCTTTTGTTCACGATTCGCTGTTTCGTTCACATTCTTTGTTTGTTTATGTTTTGATTCATATATATGTTATTTTCAGTTTTACTATCTATGCTGGTTTATTGTCGTGGAAATTAATTGGAATGTAGCTTTATGTATGTGGTCCTTTGGGCTTGTGGAGGTTGTTTGGGTACGTGTTTCAACCTGGTTGGTTTGAAGAAATTTCTGTCTCCTGTTAGTAAAGAGGATGTGCAAGTGTTGGTCTAGTTTTCTGTTTTGTTTCACGTTATGTGTGTTACCTTTTTTCTAAGTTTGTATACTTTTATTACTTTTTGCAAACTCATATTGTTTTGATTTAGTTGTTGAGGTTAAAAGTGGTGAATCATTTAAGGTAAACATTGAAGGCAAGTATTATTGTCGAATTTCACAGGTATTATTTTTGGAACAGTTGGATATGCTGATTTTGCTGCATTAACAATACAACTAACTGAAATTATTTGTACTCAGGCATCAATTGGAGAGATTGAGAAGGAAAAAAGTAAGTCTCTTTATCTGTACATCACTATTAATGGAAAAAAACATGTACTAGGAACACTTCACCCCTAGAGGCTGCCAGAACAAGAATTTGACTTGTTTTTGGCCGATAACTTCAAGATCTCACACAATTGGAAACATGGTAGTCTCAACTTCTAAGGAACTGTAACCTATAAACATGCATATCCTTTTCTCAAACATAGGATCTTTAAGTTTATATTGTTTTAGTAGTGAAGTTTTGTGATGTTGACTCCTTGACCAATTTGCCTGTGTGTATGTTATGTCATCACTTTCTCTAAGAAAGATACAAGTTCTGATGTTGATGAGGTACATACATACATACATGCTTTCGTTGAAGTATCATGTAATATAAATATGTCGATGCATTATATTTCAGGATACCGATGATTCCTCTGATGATGATGAAGACAGTGATGAAGAGGAAGATACAATAAAGAAGGTTAGTTTTGACATTTTTAATTGAGATAGAGTTATGAATAGAATTATATCTTAAATTTGTGTACATGTTTTGATATTTTTAGTAGCAATATGAAAAGATTAGATTGAATGTGTCTGCAAATGAGTTTTGTGTTCTAAATGCGTTTTGGTGTTTGCAGGAACTTTAAGAGAGAGAATGCTCATTTGATTAGTAATTGATAGCGAGGGTTGTTTATAATATAGATTATGTTGATGAGTGAGAGGGTTGTTTATAATATCATGGTGTTTAGTAGATTTGCTGTAATTAGTATGAAAATGACATCTAAATGCGTTTTGGTGTTTGTGTCGGTATCAAAAAGATATCATAAATGTATGAGTGTTGAGTCTTTAAAAATCTAAAAGATCGAACATGTTACTATTGAAGTTTGTTGTTTGTCATCCTTTAGAAACATAACCCATGGCTTGTTGACAGAAAGAGACCATAAATATATTCTTATGATTTTCTAAAATTATTGTTAATGGTCAAGATATTTGGGTTAATGATATAACATTTTATTCTGAAAAGGACCATTTTGGATTGAAAGTGTATATAAAGTGAAAATATTTTCTCTTGTTATAGTTGTTATTTTAGAAACATAACAGTTTTAAGATGGTTAAATGGTTAAACCAAATAAATTTCATTCTAAATTTATTTTTATCACATCTGTCTTATTTAAGTGTCTTCATCAATATTACTCATCTCCAAAATTCACTTCTTCCTCTGAAACCACGTCTTCTTAATATAGCGCATCCACCTGTGACATTATTTATACAATATTTTTATTAAAGTTTACCATCTAAGATATTTTTAAAATAATGATTTTATAATTAACCTAATCAAGCATCAAATTATTGTGATCAACTACAACTTCCGGAAGTAAAGCTTTGCGTACAGAGACATAATAAAGCAAGAACATACAAACATAAATTTAATAGTAAGATTAAACTCGTAATTTATTATATATCAATGCTAAATTAAGTTCTAAGATGTTGGTTTTGTGTTTATGAAATTACTTTTGAAATGAGTACCTTTACATTTTAAACAATTTTAATTGAGTTAGTTTTGAAGTGATTTTGGGTAATTGCACTGCAAAGAAAATATAATATAAGGTCATATAATATGTTTGATCGATGTGCAACTATATCATGTTTTTTTTGGCATGTTTTATATGCTATGGAAAAATTAATATATTTAATGACATTTCATATTTTATGTCACTAATCTTTATAGTTATTAGTGACGTAATGATTTGACATGCCACTAAAAAGTTTTGTTTTATAAGAATAGTATATAAATATAATTCTTGTAATATATAAAAAAATTAAGTTATAATAATATTAACATTAAATTTTTATTTCAATTTTAATTTCACAAAAATATTTTAGTTAAGTTCAATTCAATTCTTTAACGTATAATATTTTCTTATGAAACCCATGTTAAAGAGCAAACGTTTCTTTGATATTTTTTTGAACGTTGGAGTAGACCAAAGCAAAGAGCCCTAGCAAGAAGGTAGAGGGCAAAAAAGGAAGCGAAATTGACTTATCAGAGTAATTATTTTTTTGGCTTGTTTATATTTGAGTAATTTTTTTACATATCTAACCAACTTGTTGAAAGTGCTCGTATATGACTGTTATGACCGACTAACTTGTTTTTTAAGAGAACACGGGTACTTTTCAACAATAAGCATAGGACTGCAGTACGAGACTTTTTTAAGCCCTGTTATTGTCGACGTGGCACAAGCATAATGCAATTACCATGGCTACTACACATCCCCTCACCCGTTTCATTGTCATCCGTTACCATCGCAACGCCTTGTAACATATAATTTCGAAAGAAACGCTTAGATGACCATTAGGAACGGTAAAAAACGAAATAAAAAAAATAATTTTTTTTACCTATTTACCTTTTATAAATTGACATATATACACAAAATTTTACTACGCCATTCTCTCATTCTATTTACACAAAAAATAATCATATTTTATTTCAACCAAGTTATGGAGCAAAACCTGAACACCCCTCCACCAAAGACAAACACATCCGTTCTGATGGGGTTCACACAATACGAAGGCTATATGAACCTCCTCACTCTCAAAACTCACCACAAATACCATTTTTAGGAAACTATTTCAATCTCACTTTACCCCAATGCAATTTCCTACATTGCCCTACATGCAACAAAACCCAAACATTCAACAAAATCTTTTCAATACGTTTGTTTCAATGCCACAAACAATCACACGACCACCACCTACACAACCAATGCAAGATACGGTTCCCGAAACACAAACGAGAGGTATTCGGAAAGGTAGAGGGAAAGGGAAAGCATCGAAAAAAGTGAAGAAGAAACTCCACTATGGTGGACACCGGAGGAGGAGTACGCGTTGGTGGTGGCGTGGTACGAGACTTCGACAAATCCAACTATAAGAAAATGATATGAGTAAAGTTGGTTTTTGGGAAGTTGTGCTCGAAAAATTTCATGCGATTTTGAAGAAACAGCCATATCCCAATGTCGATATGCTTAGTAGCAAGTGGATTCCAATCGGTAATAGGTGCACCAAGTTTAATGAGGTTTTTATGAGGCTTTCTTCGCAAAAGCAAAGTGGTGCGAATGATTTCGATTTGTTTAAAGCCGCGAGGGAACAATATCACGTCGAAATGGGGCACGCTTTCGAGTATGGAAAAATATGGGAGATTGTGAGAAAAGATCCAAAATGGATTAACACGCAAACATCATCGGAGGCACAATCAAAGAGGTCTCACAATTCTAGTTTGCTTGATGTTTCTGACACACGAACTAACATTGACCTCAACGCCGACACATTTGAAATCCCCAACGACATCGAATGGATCCCCCCCTCCCTCATGTTGACCGATCGGGGCACGAGAAAGCGAAGCGAGCTCAACGACACACGAAAAAAAGCTGAAAGAAGGGCACAAGAGTTCGTAGAAATGAAAGAAAAGTTCAACCAACATTTCTGTGATCTTTTAAGTCATTGTGACCATTTATGTACTTGTTTTTGGACTATTTGTTTTTTTACATATATCAGTTAATCTTTTAGTTAGAGCTTGAATCTATTAAAAGATTACTTTCTGGTAAATTCAATATCTTATATCAAATTATGAGGGGTATGTGGAGTTGGTGATATTTGTTGTGATATGATTAGTTTTTGCAGACATGCCATTAAAAGTGAATTTTGTCCATTTGGCAACCAAAATGGAATGAAATCGTGGATTCCAATACAGTCGGAATCATGGATTACTATTCCGTTTGAATTGGAATTGGAATTGGAATCCACTTATTTGGAGGAGAGACTTATGATGTTTCACCAATATCGGCAACATCAACACATGAGGAAAGACCATTAATAAGATACAAATATCCATCAAATGAAGCAATGATAATTACAAGTCCTTTCTTCTTTTCCTCATCCTTTCCCAAATCAACCAAGAGGACTTGATTCATGACTCTCCCACGAGTTTTGTATAGATAAGGACGAACAAATGACCCGTTTTTACCACTTAAGACATAAACAACTTTATATGAATTATAATTATAATTGGGTAAATTTACCATAGTAGAATGCTATATTGGGTACACATGAAAGTAAGACGCTATTAAAGAATGTAAAATTGATAGATTTTTTATATATCAGTCAAATCGGGCACCAGACGTGTATAACACTAGTGTAACATCCCGATAATGAGGTATTTCCAAATTTAACTCTTAACTATGAAGGTTAATGATTTTTAGCCCTTGTGTGTGAGACAGCTTGCAAATGGCCTATAGTGGCATTTTTGCGGGCCAGGGCTGCATACGCTGGGCGTACATGCATGGGCCTTGGTACGCTGGGTGTACACCGCATATGCAGGCCGCACGTGAAGGATCCTCAAACCCTAATTTTTAGTGTTTGGTCCATATATAATCACCATTAACTCCTCATTCTCATTCCCTCTTCAACCTCCAATTGTCATTTCGTCTATCCAGAACCCTAATCCACCTTGAGAGTGTTATTGAGCTTTTGTGGGTACTTTTGGTGATTAGTAAGGAAGGAGAAGAAGAGAGGGCCAACTTGGAAGAGTGAAGCACCTTAGATCCAGAATCTCATCATTGTTTGACATCATTTTAAGGTAAAAAGCTCTGAACTTGATGACGATTTGTTTAAGATCTTGTTAGCCTTGAAGTTGTGAACATTTTGGTCCCATTAGCTTGGCATTTTGAGTATGAGTTACTCTAAGTCATTTGAGCCATCCTTTTAGATATTTTAGAGTGTTGTTGTGCACAAAAATATGATCTTGAGTGTTGTATGTAACCCATCCATGTGTTAGATGGTCTTATTGGGTTAAGAACATAGGGTTTTGAACATTAAGCACTTTATAGCCATGCAAAGTCATAAAGTTGGAGACTTTATGACTTAGGACATCAATTTGGGCTTGGATATGAGTTTTGGAAGGAAGTACTTAATGGAATAAGCTCTTAATGAGGTTTTGGGACTAGGCAGCGTACATTAGGCATACCTGGAGGTACGTTGCATGTACACGGTCAGCGCCCCGCTTTTGGTCAACATCAGAGTACGTTGGGCGTACTCTCTTGTTACGTAGGGCGTACTCCGTTGGGAAGAAATATTGATCTTTGGACCTTGACCGTTGACTTTGACTTTTATCAGGGCTGACCAAGTATGACTTAAGGCTATTTTAGGTATTTTGAGCTATAGTTAAGGTTTGGTCTCTATCTGTTGAATAAGTGACCTGTAGAGCCGATATTCGGAGGAGTGTATTGTTTAGCTATTCTTCAAACTGCGAGATGAGTTTCTTTTCACTGTACCATGGGTCGAAGGCACCAATGTCGACCCACTAGATTATTTATCCTGGTTAGGATAGTATTATGCTAGTTTGTGGCTGATTAGTAGATCTGTATGATTATCTTTATTTGCAGGTTCTGTGTTTATGTTTATCTATTATATATGTCGATATATTGTGTTGGGTTGAGGTTGTACTGCTTTATGCTGTAGCGAACAAACCTAGGAGCATTCCAGATATGAGCTGAGGGCCCGATTGGCATGAAAAACTCATATTGAGGGCTCGAGAGTGATGTGTGTTAAACCAACTAGTTTTATTCCTACTTATAAATTGTAAATTAATCACACAAAAGGCAGTGAACCTGTCAATTGGTGGTATAGATCTAGTAAGCAAAGTATCGAACTCAGGGAACGACAATTTAAACTAATTACTAAAATTATCTAAAAAAATATCAAATAATAAAAGAGGGATTTTCTCTAGTTTTACAAG